TGATTGTAGCATTTTAGATAGCGATATATATATATATATATATATGCATAAAGAGAAAAATTCAATTAAAGAACATTACTTTTTACTCCAGAAAAAACATAATGAAAGCTTTATTACCTTAAATCGAGAAGCTCCAACCCTGTTTGTTCGGTAAATATTCCTTCTATGCTTGTAAGTGCATTGTGGGATAAATCAAGCTCTTCTAGGTTTGGAAAACTATTAAATACACTGCTATAAATCAGTCGTATTTCATTGTAACTAAAATTTAAGGTTATCAAATTTTCTACTTTTTTAGGAAAGAAGTTATTGTTGATTGAAGATAGCTTCCCATGAGTGAAATGAAATTCCTTTAACTGCTTAAGACAATATAGTCGAGAGGGTTCTGATGAAATTTCTTCTTCCCTGATTGGAATATTGCAAAGAAGACATATTTTGTTTGCGGAAGAACTATTTGTTATTTCAATCCTGTAAATAGAAAAATAGACAAATCTGTTCATTAATTCAAAAATATTATTTGAATAAATTGTCATACAGAGTTTTGTTTCATTATAATTAAAATAAATTTTATTTTATGCATTTCTTATTTGCTTATAATCTATCAGGCAAAAATAGACAGACAAGAAATTAACAAAAAATTAGGCACATTTGTTCGATAAAAACTGATTCGGACAACTTAAAAAATATATTATTTGTTTTCATTCGATTATTATCAACTGTTTATAATTCATGAATTTCAAAATTTAATGTTTGGAAATCTTTTTCCCATAACCTTAATATGGCAACTATTTTGTGGAGAACTTTCCTTGTGAAACAGATGGAGGATGAATTAATTATTAAGAGAGAGATGAAGGATTATGAAAGAGAGGAAGGATTAATGAAACATTTTTAATTGAAACTGGTTCTAATCCTCACCTGTATAAAATCAGCAAAAGTATCCCTATTTACTCATTCTGAGATTACTCTACAAAAAGGTGAAACAATTTACTAAATTTAAATAAACTTAACCCTAAGAAACACTAAGTCGCTTTCATCATGGCATTTTTTTAATTTGTAATTTTTGAAAGCTGTTCAAATTTTATAAGTAAAAATATGTTAGGTTATAAATTTTAAGGTAACGATTTTACGTAATTGTACTAAAAAAAATCTTCTCGCTGAACTCTACATTATACCTATAATGTTACGTGACATAATATTGATGTATACTTTCAGAAAAAAAAACTTAACGTTGAACCATAGTATCAGTAACTGGGACCATAATACTGAGAGTAAATTTGCTGCTACCTGAATGATGTGTGAAGCATAACCTTGTTTTCGTTCAAGTCTAACCACAGTGTTATGCACTTACTTTAATAAATACGATATTTAGGATCAATTTTGCACCATATTAAGGTAACAGCGAATTTAAACAACATTATGGTTAATATACACCAAAATTTTCAACAGTAAAGCAACAGCAAAGAGAAAACACAAAACTTAGAAAAAGGAACACTGGTCCTACTTTAAAGTAGATATTATTAAACTTTGGAAAATTGCATATTTAAATTAATGCACCTTGATATTAAAATACAGTTAAACCTCTTTAAACAACCACCTCTAAACGATGGAAAATTCTGATGTTTATGTAGATGTATGCATGCATGTTTGGATAAACTACTGAAGAGCCATTTCCGAACAATGGCCATCAGTAACTAGCAAGAATTTTATTTCAGGGTGTATCTTCGAAGGGTGTATCTCTATTGATCGTCAATTTACGATAATTTCAATTGATCATTACTGTACTTATCTAAATAAAGTGGTTCGTTAAAGTGCGGAATCAAGAGTTTTCGCAATTCACCTAGATAATGAGCTAAAAATAACGGTCTCCGAACCGTTAAGGCTTAAAAGTTTGTTTCCCTCATTCTATCAACTAATTTGTTGATTGTATTGACTTGATTCTTTAAATACCGAAATTTTTATAGCATTATGTTTATTTCCTTAATTGTTATAATATTTTAAACCATATGATTCTTTGAATTATTTTTTTCAAACTGATTGAACATTGATTCCATCAACTAATGCATTGATTGTTTGATTGCAGCATTTTAGATAGCGAAAAATATATAAATTATGTTATGGTAATTTCAGCATACAGACACGTATTTTCACTTTAACGAGTGTTGGATAGGTAATGTACAGATTATCTGGGCAGATAGTAGATTATCTAAGTAATTTGAGTCATGAACCAATTTTTTTCACAAATGAACGACTCACCGTAGTTAATCTTCACACATTAAAGTATTTTCAATTGAATACGTTAATATGTGCAGATTAACAAGACATTTTTAACAATGCATTTTTCACTTTAACGAGCTCACAACGTATTTTCACTTTAACGAGTGTTTGACAAGCAATGTCAAATTTTCTATGTAGTTATTTTCGGCACTTTAACGGATTAACCTAGTTAATCGGCACACTAGCAAGATAATCTGTAGAATAACTCATTTCAACACTTGAACCTTAACTTATATGATATATTCCTCGCCGGCCATCACACTCGAGTCATTTTAAAAGAAACATTTTTAAGTATTCATAGAGAAACATTTGACAATTCCGCTATTGCAAGTCACCTACAACTTTCATGACTGGCCTGTGTTTGTAAATTTACTTAAAGGCTTTTTTTTTCTACGTAAAAATAAGAAAAATACACGAACTGATTGGAGACAAAAGTAGAGGTAAGAGATGGCTATATTGTAAAAGAAGAAGTCACTGAAATGAATGAAAATAAGAATAATTAGAGTAATAATGAAAAGAAAAAAAACGTATTCTAACTGCTGACGTTACAGAAAATTTTCGTGACACTCGGATTTTTGCTCTCAATAATAATGACGATGAACTGCGTCAAGAAATCATATCGTTATGACTATGGAGGAAAAAAGTATGATTTAAAAAGAAAAAAAACTAGGTGTAACGGATTTCTTCTAATGTAAATTGTAAGATAATGTATGGTGAGTAAGTTGATTATATTGTACATTAATGTCGTCTTGTTTATAACTACGCATCATTTTTGCTGATATTGTTGATGATTCATTCAGTTTTATTTTTTGAACAATGAATTTATTGATAACTACAAATAGCGTACGCTTTTTAACATTGATCAGAGTGGTAGCATTACTCACTATATAAATTAAATTTTAATAATTGTTGTTAAAGATCAAATTTTTTATGGTTTAATGTTGACAAATTTTAGTAGAACTTTTAAAGAATTTAAAATAGATTTTAACCTCATAAAACAAATTTTAAAATGATCATGAACATACTGATTTCTATCGAACTATTATTTTTTTTTTATACTTTGAGAAATTTAAAAATTATTTTTATGGAATAGTTGGGTGATTCTCACGAAATATGACAATTCACTGCTCTTGTTCCAAGATCTAATACTATAATATTAAAAGAACTTTTTTTCTTAAAAAATTAATAAATAGCATTGCTGTTAGCATTTTAAAATGACTTTGCACTAGCATTGACTGTTTTGTGTAGTTAAAAAAATTTATTGAACTTCAAAATTTCATGTTTCTGGCATGTCACAAGCAATGTTTCCAGTAATAACTAGCTTCAAAACTTCCCATAAATTTTCAATATCTAATTTTTTTTTATCTCAACCGGTGTAAGCATTTCAAGAATATACGCAGAGGGTATTATTTACAAAACTTTCGTTTAAAATATTTTTTCCGGCAATAATTTTTTTGTCCCAAGAAAATCTATCATTTTCCTGGCTACTTTTACTTTGTGGCTTATAACCAAAATAGATAGAGCCAGCAATTAATATCTTATGTTAATAGATTGATTAGATAGCCTCCTATATGAACATGTCTTGTTGCATGAATAACGAACGAATTTTCTGGTTCAAAATCTATTTCAAAAAATTTTTCAAGGTGAGTAGATTTTTGTGTTATCATTTTTCTGGCTTCTTGAAGTCATTAATAAGATAAGCTACATAGATTTATCTGAGTAATTTTAAAAAATACTGTTGTTTTTTGCAGTATATAAACGTATTAGGCCAAAATATTAAATTAAAGTAAAGTTATATGGTATAAAATGGCGAATTTGTCATTATCCTGGCTGTCATTTTCCTTGCTTATAAATGCCAGGACATTGAAGTGTTACCAGAAATTTTCTTTAACTGCTAATACAGTAAGGAGGGAAAACAAATATTAACCTAATACCAAGTTTATGCATGATTGTAATATGCTTGGATGCAATCAAAGTTATTTATTTATTTAATGATTGGTTATTAAACACAATTTTATACTGTACATATCAGCAACAAAAATTTTTTTATTCTCTCTGCAGTGGATAAAAAGAATTAATTTAAGCAATTTAAGGTCCATCAAACATAAAGGCTTAAGTTGAGTTACTTACAATTAACTTAAAATGACTGTTTCTTAAACATCTAAGCTAATATGTCATTTTCCTGGCTTTCAAGATTTGGTGAATTTCTATTTAATTCTTTTTCTTGAGCAAATGTCAATAAACTACACTGCTGTCTGTAAAATATTAATAAGTGTAACTAAAGAAGTATGCAAAAAAATTTTAGATTATTTTGAAGACTTTAAATTTGAAGAAATTATTTTGTCCGAATTGTCATATTTAAAAAGAATCACCCAGTTGCCAATTATATTTTAAATGAAAAGCTTTAAAAACGTAATGTACGAAAAAAAAGCTCTACCCCCTGAACCACCAAAGCTCTAACTATGGATAGTTGACAGTGAAAAACTAAGCACAGGTTGTGCTAGGGGTTAAAATTCGTCGTAAGATTTCCGGATTACTACTTCTGATTGATTTTAAGCCTTAGCTTGGAAAAACTCGCTATTCAATATTATTTTACTTGTAGTGCTCACAATATTAAGTGTTTTTTTTTTTCAATAGCTAGAGAAATTAGATGTCCAAACAAATAGCTAAATAGCTAGATAACAAATAGCAAAACAAATAGCTAGAGAAATTAGATGACCTCGCAAGCATGCCATGATTTTACCAGAAAAATAACTACCTGTGATATTTCACACAATTATAGCCAAATATGGGATAACACTCAAAACATGGTAAACCTTACACTTTATTTATGTTGTGGTATTAGTTTTCTTAAATTTGTTTTCGGCTCACAACGGGACAGAATTTATAAATTACAGAAAATCTTATAAATGGTAAAACTTCGCGTAAACTTGATAAAAAGTCAAAATAATAAAACTTCCTGGGATATTAAGCCTGTTCACACATCACTTCTTAAGCATAACATTTGCGGAGGGATACACCAGTAATTTCTTCCTGTTTTAGGAAGTTTGTTATTATTTAAATTCAGGCAACCATCCTACAATATATGTATTATACAATATATGAGTGCAATACATGTATTGTTGTTGACGTATGCCTGTTTAGGCAGAGGGGGCGCGATTGTTCTTGTTTTCCAGTAGCGCCATCTATGTGCAAGAATTCGACTTCTGCCACACCATACGTCGCACCCGTTTACAGGGGACCCATTTATACATCCATTCATTCATTCACAGATCGTAATTTTGACCTATATCAGAGAACGATCGATCTCCAATCCAGTACCCCCAGAGGTATTGATTTGTTATGGGAACATGGAAGACTTTTGCGACTAGACATATTTAACGTGCATCAGTCACTTTACTACACGGGGAGTCTTCGGCCGACGGGGTTCGAACCCACGAACTCTCGGACATGGGCCCAACGCCCTACCGACCAGGCTATCCCGGCCCAATACATGTATCATATGTGTATTATTTTTCGTCCCACTCAAATAATGGAAACCTGCGAAGCCCATGCTTTATATTTAACATTAGTAGACTGTTTCAATCAGCTTCGTAATCTGTTGTTCTAACCACATTGCAGTTTACCGTGAGTATTGGTGGCAGTCTAAATACAAATAAATAATTATAAATTATAATTAATTAAAAAATAGTTGCTATGCTGCTCTTCTGAAGGTAAATTCCAAGTATACCACGTTGACATTTTAAAATATCTTCATTTTCTTTAGGACTGTATGTAATCCGGTAGTGAACCAGTTAATTAACAATTCACTGGTTAACGAGAGAACGTAAACAATTGTTTGTACTTTGAGGTACACACAATTGTAATAAAAGCTTTATAGTTTATTCTTTTGCTTTTGCTAAAAAAACGTAGTTGTACAAAATTTTCCAAACAAATATATATGTTATATCTGTTAATTAGTCTTGGTAGTCACAAATATTTTACTCATGAAAATAAGCTTGAAGTGAAATGATTTTAATGACAATTTTTCTTATTTCCGTGTAACTCAGAGTCATTTTCATTTCGCTCACACTTCATTGGTAAATCATTAAAGAGGATGCCATACCACGGGAGAAGCTTTCTGTAGCAAATTCGCTTTTGCCTTCATAATTAATTTGAAGTATAGAAAAAGTGAGTTCAGGCGAACCTAGAGTGTGCCATGAAGTTTCAATTGCTGAAAAGAAATTTTCAAAATATCAATTATTTCCAATTATTTGCTCGAATTTTGATATTTTGAGTTTTTTTTCAGCTATTAAAACTTGTCTTACTCTAGGTTTGCCTGAACTTATCTTTTTTGCATTTTAAATTTTAAATTAGCTATGAAGGTGAAAGAGAATTTGCGACGAAAGGTTTCTCCCGAGGTATAGAGTCCTCTTATAACCTAGCACTATCAGATGTGCAAACTAAATAATTATCTTTTTGCTTCAACTTATAACTAAAGAGAAAAAGTGTAGAAATAGCTGATTTTTCTTGACACTGCCTTGAACTATAAATAAATAGAAATTATACTTACTTAGTTGTGAAGTGATTTCTACAGGGCATCTTCGCTTCACACCCAAAACACGAAGATAAATTTGAATCAATAATTTCCAGTTCTTTTATCCAAGTTAGAGTAAACCAATCAGAGGGGAGATTACTTTTACTTTGAGCCCCTTCTTTCAAACTGTTTTCCAATAAAAAAGAATCACTTATTACAAATTTATCTATTTCCATATTCATGAGCGTAGGATAAATTCTTTCTAAAGTGGTGACATCTTGTAATTTTTGACAACTAATGATGGTATGATAATCTTTATTGTCATTTTCTATATTGATACATCTGCACGGATATATTCGATTTCGTGGTGGGCATATTGAGCCCCCAAACACTCCTATTCCATAGGAAGTTATAAGAAATAAAGCAATCAACATTATTTGATATTAACCTGAAAATAAAATATACCATGACATGAGTAAAAGTAAAGAATCATTTATTTTAAACTTAAAAAGATTCTTTTTAAGGACGCCATACCTCGGGAAAAATGCTTCGTCGCAAATTCTCTTTCACCTCCATAACTAATTTAAAATTTTAAGTATAAAAAAAGTGAGTTCAGACAAATACAGAGTAAGCCATGAAATTCCAAATACTGAGAAGAAAATTTTAAAATATCAAAATGAAAATAAATTATGAGGAAATAACTTAGGATTACGCAATGGAGAAGTTTTCCTCAAAAAATTTGTAAGCATTTTTATATTTTGAATTCATTTTTTCAGCAATTGAAACTTCATGGTTTACTCTAAATTTGCCAAAACTCATTTTTTCTTTCTTTTAAGTATGAAATTAGTATTGGAGATGAAAAGAAAAATTGCGACAAAAAGTTTCTCCCATGATATGGCATCTTCCTAAGAAGAAATCCTTCATTGCAAATTCTCTTTGAATGACATTTGAGTCGCTCAGAAGCCAATGCGGTTAAGTCCAAAACACAAAAATTGAGAAAATTAATGTTTTTTGATACATTAGTTTCTAAAATTCTTGGTTTATTAATTTAATTGGAAAAGTGTATAAAGTCTTTTTTCGAGGTGTAAACTCTGCAAAAAAACAAGATATGTACAGGATGTGTAAATAAAAACGTAAGTATTTATTGAAATAATGACAGCATCTTAAAAATTTTAGGACTTATACCTTTTGGCAGCTAAAAAAGATAAGAAATTTATGCAAAAAATAATAAAATAACATTTATTGTCATAAGTTTTATGTTTAACGTAAAATCTACTTAATCAAAGTGCATAAGAAAGAATTTATATTATAGTCTATTAGTATAAACGAACTTTTGTTTTTCCCAATCATCACTAGATGCAGTGACTAATAGAAAATAAACTGTTGGATTATTTCAAAAATTGTTTTTTACTTCAAAACTAGAGTGGCACTTTTCGTTGTTTCAGGAAATAAAAATTAAATAAATTAAAAAAAAACCAAAAATACCACATTTTAAAAAAATGCTACCAAAAATAACATACCCCTTTTTTTTGGTGAAAAATACTACCGTATTATTAAAAATACTACGTCTGGCAGCCCTGAGTTACTACGAATTTCTTGTTTTTTAGTGTTGCCAACAAATATCGAAAGAAGAAGAAGAATTTAATTTTTATTTCAAAGTTTATGTAAAAAAATATTGATAAAAGGTGGACTTATTCACAATGGCTTCTGAAATTATTATACAATATATTCAGAAGCTATTAAAAAAATAGCTGTCTAACCTAGAAAAAAGTAACCAACGAGCAAATCCTTTAATAACTAAGAAGATTATTATTTATTTCATCAAAATTTCCAAAAATCAGAAAATATCAAAAAATGGACTTAACCGCATTGGCTTCTGAGCGGCTCATTTATAACTTAAAATTTAAAGATAGTGAAGGTGAATTCGGGTAAATCTAGAGTAAAATATGATTTTCCAAATACTGAAAATAATTTTCAAAGTAACAGCATGCGAACAAATTATGGCGGGATTGCTCAGTATTACGCTGTGGGGAAATAATTCTGCCATAATTTGTTTGCATGTTGATACTTTTAAAATTATTTTCAGCGTTTGAAGCTTTATGATTCACTCTAGGTTTGCTGAACTCACTTTTTTCGTACTTCAAATTACACCATATCAATGGACATGAAACAGAATTTGCCATGAAAAATTTTTCCCGTGGTATAGCATCTTCTTTACTTTTATTATACCTAGCGTTGCTTCTAAAGTATGCAACTTAGGTGTATTCTCTATGTCTTTTATTACTCACTTTCTTGTCTGTGAGAGTTGAATATTGCAATCAAAATTTCGACTACTTCCCTCACAGATCAATTTCATATGAAGTGCTCAGTTTCATATGAAGCTCTATATCAGATGAATTCACGCGTCTTGACCGGTAAAAGCAAAATTTATTGTCCTTTTATCAAAATTTACTGCCTTTTTAGTGTATTTTTATTTTTTAACCATATATAATTTATCCTTAACCGAAATTCTACTCACTTTTTGAACTTTCAGAATTACAGTACAAGTTTGTTTCATTTTCCAACTGATATAACCAAAATTTTTCACCTTATTATCGACAATTCAAATTCTTACCCTTTTTCGACTAGCTAGAGGGCTCGAATTTTAAATGAAGCTCTGTACCAAATACCAATGTAAGTTACAACTGTTGCATAAATGCTGTAAGCAATTTAATCATCTATCAAAACAAATTTCGACCGCTTTTGGCAGCGAAAAAATTATCAGACACAAAACTAAAATTAAGAAATAATAGAACAAATTTTAAAAAAATTAAAAAGTGTGTTCTTAAGAAATTAATAAGAGGAAAATATATTTTTTTGTCAGATTTGAAACGAAAAATACAAACCACTCAGACAATAAACTTCTATCACCGCCGAATATCCCCCCCCCTCCCATCTGATTTTTCGAAAATGGTGTGTCCTTATGTCAAATGTATAATACTTCTTTTCAATGTATAATTATTATGACAAATATATAATTATTTTCTCCTTTTCCGTCTATTTGAAAAACGTAATCTTTGAAACTTTTATATCGTTATTAATTTAACGAATATTTTAGAAATATATTTTTTTTTCTATAAACTACAATTTTATCGTGTTTTTCACACTCATTTGCTAATAAACAAATCCTTCTGTGAAACATTGTAGTTTGTTAAGTAATAGTTGTAGTTTCTTATTTGGATATTAGCGAAGAGACACTTTTTCTTATCTTTTTATTTCTTTTCCTGCTACTTTTTCTGTAAATGCTTAAAAATAGACCCAATTTAAGACGGAATTCGTTTATTTTTGGAGAAGAAAAAGAGAACAGAAAATGATAAGAAAAATCTTCTGAAAAAAATTTCAAAAGCATATTCTTCAAAATTTTCGAGCTGTTTTTGGAAAAGTAATGATAGCATTTTATTTCCATTTCAAAAAAGAAATCTTATTTCAAAAATTGGTAAGAAGTAATACAATACAATGACACATATCACAGTGAAACAAGCAAAGAAAAAAAAACAATTATCCGTTAATTAATTAAATTAACGAATGATTCATTAATTCGTTAATCTAATTAAATATCAATAATTGTAAAAATAATAAAAAGCTTTGAAATTACTAACCTTATATAATTCTTATAATGTGTCCCAAAAGACGCTTTGATCTCTTTCAGTTAGCTTAGTTTTGCTTCGAATGGCTCTTACAAAGAATTCAGTTGACTCTCTTGCTAACATCACTTAGGAAAAAAAAGATATTGAAAATTGATAAAAAGCTCTTCTGCATAAATATTTAGGAAAAAAATCGGCGACTTTTACAAACAGTCCTTTTATTTTTATCAAAAAGCGTACTTTTTTTCTGTTTTTTTGAAAGCTGTCGGATATCTTCAACCATTTTCGTTTTCCTTCAACTACAAAAGGTTCCTGTTTTCTTTATTTGAAGTACCAACTTTATTTTATTTCATATGTATTTTTTGGAGGGGGCGGAAGGGAGAAGTGAAACACACTTTTGACAGGCTGAAGTAAAACAATTTTCTTCAAATTATCTTCAATTAGAAGACGTATTATTAAAAATTTCGCAGAAAATAACTACTATTTTTGCTCTATTCGTGCATAACAATCATCTGTCAACATATTGCAAACGGATAAATATGTAAAAGTAAATAAAATTTCTTGTTTAATTCTAAAAATCGTAAGACATCTCATAACTATGACTCTGGCTAGCAATTCCAACTATTGTTATTTATCATATAACAATACGATACAAACTGAAGGAATAAATAAGATGATATAGATTAATTTTTTTACACTTAACATGAACATGCAAAACTTTAACTTTTACTTTAACTTTAAACTTAAACTGCAAGACTTTAACTTTAAGCATGTAAAAGTAAATAAAATGTCTTGTTTAATACTAAAAATTGTAAGACATCTCAAGACTATGACTCTAGCTAGCAATTCCAACTATTGTTATTTATCATATAACAATACAATTAGATACAAACCGAAGGAATAAACAAGATGACATAGATGAGTTTTTTTACACTTTCAATTTTTTTTTTACACTTTATTTCTGAATCTATTTTAATAAATGTAATGAAGCAATTTCTTCTAAAAAATTATTATTTTTGAATATTTATGTTATAACCTTAATTATTTGCTCTAATTATTCTAGGAATAAAACCAACATCTCCTAGAAAAGAGAAGGTCTTCGCATAAATCACTCTTGTAGTCCGAAGGAATGAACATTCACTGCGCAGTGGGAAAAAATAAGAAAAATATCACAAGGTTTAGCCTACAAACTACGCAGTGGGGAAAAATAAGAAAAATATCAGAAAGTTCGGTCAACAAAACTACACAGTGGGGAAAAACTAAAAAGATATCTACTAAAGACTTCTAAGGATTGGATCTCTCGTTCATATTAACCTACGTGTAGGCTTTCGCTCTTCTAGGAGGTGTTGATCAAACGAAAAGCACTTAGCTTATGTTCCTGGGTTCGCTTAATCACACTTTTTCGCTCTATCCTAAAAAAAAAATTTAAATTTAAAAAAAAGGTGGATTTCTCGGAATTGTATTATCCATGTACAATCTATTCTTGGAAACTTTATAACTCCGATCGTGGAGCAAAAATGACCCGCATTAAATTTCAAATGGGAATGTGATTTTGTCTGCTATGGTCACCAAAGACACGCTAGACTATGGGATCCTTTCCTTTATGGTGGAAAGAAAGTCTTATCACTACAGATAATTTATTCGATTTGTTCTCATTCGTGAAATGATTTTTATGTAAACTATAATTAATTAAACTTTCATTCCATTAATTGCCTTAGAAGAAAATACCCCATTACTGAAGAGGAAAATCAATGAAATTCGCTGAAATTCGGAATTGTATTATCCGTGTTCAATCTATCCATTCCAGGAAACTTTAAAACTTAAATCCTTGACCAAAAATTAACCGTTAGATCTCCATCAGCATTAAATTTCAAATGGGAATGTGATTTTTTATGTTATTGTCACCAGAGACACGTTAGACTATGGGATCTTTTCTTTTATGATGGAAAGAGAGTCTTATCACGACAGATAATTAATTTGATTTTCTCTCATTTTTGAAATTATTTTTAAGAAAAACATAAATAATTAAACCTTCATTCCATTAGCATTTCTGCCTTAGCATAAAATACCCCATTACTGAAATTCGCTGACATTTAAGCATTATCTTTCAAATTATCATTCAAGTATTATCTTACAGTTAAGTATTATCTTTCAAAAAATCTCAAAGAGAAAATGTCAATAAATCAATATTCTTTCTACTTAACGACGATTAAAATATTAAATTTTCGTTAATATAGCAGCTAGTTTATAGCATCTATCGAAATTATGCATTAAAAAGAGTGATTATATATCTAAACTTATTAATTTCTAAACATCTTGCCTCTTAACTTATGCTCTTCAAAAATTTTATTAATATAACGTCTTTATAAAAATTTAAAAAAATCTCGGAATCCATTTTCTTAATGGGAAATGTCAAAGTAAAAGGTAGACGGACAATAAAGATAATGTTTTTCTTCATGGCATTTTCTGAAACTTTATAGTGCGTAAAATAATGTGTTAAATAATTCTCTATAAAATAAAATGATTAAATTATGTTTATCATTTCATTATTCTCATATACGAACTAAAACTGGCTGTGAATATTTGGTTTTCCCCGAAATAGTTACTTACAGCGTGAATACGAATGGAAACGTATGAAAATAAAGAGATAAATGCCTTGAGCCTTATCAGTTCACAACGGTTTCTTTTGTTTACTTATTTCCTTAGCCTGAATCCAACTTGGCAGAGCTTTTTATTCTGATTATCAGTAAAAATGTTTACAACTAACTACTCTTTTATTTTCTGGTAGAAATGTGATCAAATTCTATGTTATTTTGTCTTTAATAGCAATCTGGTCTATGTATGAATCTATTTCCTTTTTACTAACTAATAAAAGTAAAAGATCATAAAATTCTCCAATATTTTAAACTCATTTTATTCTAGATTCCATTATGCAATATTTTGTTATGTTTTACTCAAGTCTACAATGAAAACCGGTCGTATCAGATACTAAGTAAGAATTATTACAGATTATCTTATTCGTTAAAGCTTTAAGGATAAAACGACAAGCACCTTAATCACTTATCTAAATGCTGCTACGCATTTTTACCATGGAGGTGTACTACTATTTTTGCACTGTTGATTTGCTGTTATTTCTATTTGCAAGTAAGTTATGAGATTACTCATAATATTAATTATTGAAATAAATAACAGTGCCAGTTTTTGTATATTTTTTTAAGTTATAAATCTAAAACAAATGTAAATAAAATTAATTTAGCATGCATTTTTGATTAACTACAAACAACTTATTAAAAATTGTTTTTATCTTCATTAAAGCAAGAGTTATATATTGCCTTAAAGCTAAATTATAAAAATCATTTGTAAGTAACTTATGATTGCGGCATAAAAATTAATAAATTTATGTCATTTTGCATGCATCGTATTTTTACTCCTCAGTTTTATACATTTTATATGCATTTTTACTTTAGTTTCAGGTAAACAGTTTGTGCAAATTTATTCAGTACCATAATAAAAAAAAATTTTACAGTGAATATTCCGTAATGACAAAATATTATTTTATTTTTATCAAATTGTTAACTATAGTTCTTAACAACAAATGTTTGCTTAAACATGCCTACTTGTTTCCATTTTTAATATTTTAAAGCATTTCAGAATTAAATAAGTCTCTTTAGGAGTTATTATGTCAAAATGTATTGCGTATGCTTATGAACCAATGGTCACAACATCAAAGTTTTCAATATCATGAAATATGGTAGAGAGGCTTGTAAAACTGCTGAACTAAATTGTGCTAAATTTCAGATTAAGAAACTAAAAATTTCAGTTGTTATGGATAAAACTGATATGCGTAAACGAGTCAGGAAAAAAATGAATTCATATCCAAACTGGCATATCTTTGCTGCAAAAAAAAATTATTACAAGCCTTTGTGTTAAGTTCAAAAACAAGCAAATGTGCTATAAATTTTCTAGAATATTTTAAAAACTTAACTTTAGGAACATTCTAACTTACATCAAAAAACCTCAACGAAAACTTTGCTTATTTTTGAAACTATACTCTGCGTAAATCTATTTGTTTTCATTAAATAGCGTTACACTCAGTTAATAGTAATATACTAAATTACAAATTTTCAGAAGGTTGCACTATAGAATACACCTTCCTGAAAATTTGTTACCTAAAATTGAACCAAACTTTTTTTATGTTCTTCGCTATTGAAATTAAATTGCGCTACTGAAAGTGATAATTTTATTTTTTATGTCTTAAACTGTTTAAAATTTACTTTTTCAAGTTTAAATATCTTTGTACTAAATTGCATATCAATATATTCAATATAGAATGACTCTACTAAATTTAATTTACAGTAACATACAATTAAGTGATATGTTCTCATACATTCTACATGTTCACAAAATGAAAACAAACCACTTCTACATTTTTTTTAAATAGGAAAACTGCTTTATAATGATACTGACACATTTATGCTGTTATACTAAACCTTATTACATATTAAAATATGCTGTATTATTTTTGGTAAATTGCATATACAGGGTATTCATTAGAGACTGCCCTTAATGTATATTTTTCGAATGATTCTAAAAAAATAAGACAAAAAAGCTATGTTTATTATAAAATTAATATTTAAGCTTAATATTAAGAAAAAAAAAGGACGCTGTCAATATCTGACCAATAACAATTAAGGAAAGCGAATGCACGGACAGAACATCAAAACCTGTGTGGTTATAGGTGAAATCTCGAAGGTGTTTCCAATAATCGTTTTTACCCAATCTAACAGATTTTGGAGTTTTGTACACCCGCTTTCCCGAACTGTGATTTGGCGGATTTTAATTTTTGTTTTAATCCTCGTTCCTTGCTTAAATCAGCGACACTTAATGTGTAAATTTGTTCTCTTCATTTTTGATAAAATTCTAAATATATACATTAATTGGTGTCCTTACAAACCACCCTATAATTTATAATAATGAAAAAAATTAAAACAGTTTTCTTAATTTGTAATATTAATTAGAAATTGACTTAAAATATCTGTGAAAATTGTATATATTTTTTCATGAATTTGCTTTATTCACGATAGCATTTCTTCACTTAAATGTTTTTGAAGAAATTAATTTCACATAACAGAATTAATTACTCCTTAACATTCTCGTGTTA